ATTTCTAGAACTACAATAAAAAATAGAAAAATGCTACCGTTCCGTTACGGAACCATTCCGTCGAGTTTGTAATTGTTAGATCATCATGTAACAGTATGAAATAGTTGATTTAGTAGTTACAAATTTGAACGAAATGATTCCGTAACGAGACTGTATCGATCTCTCAAAAATAATAATAAAAACAAATTGCTAGTAATTTTGGTTTTTCTTTATTTATTACGTCCCACCAATGGAGTGGAGTCGTCACAATCACAATCTCATTAGTTTAGTAGTGCGTGCACAACATCCCGTGTATTAATTAAGGCTACGATTGTTTATAAAATATTTCATCCAAAATATTTCATTTTAGTTAACTATGGTCAAAATTGAAAAAGTAGTGTGATTAAATATTAGTGAGATTTAAAAAATATATTAAAATAATATTTAAAATAAAACTATTAAAATTGATTTGATATAAAATATGAGATAAATGATTGGAAATGATTGGTAGTTAAAATTATGTGAGTGGATGAATCTATATATAAATAATTGTTGGAAGATGCATTAAATAAAACATTTAATAAAACTTCAATCATTTTCCCGCCTAAATCAATTACCTATGACTTTCTTGTTTCTTTATCAAATCTCATTAATACAAAACCGTTACAATTTTGTTTCTACTTTATATCCACCTTTAATTCATTTGTTTTTAATAATAAATACATAATTAACCCAATAATCAATAAAACTTCATCAAATTGAAAATTGATTCTCAAATAATATTTCAGATATTATTCTTAATACTTTATTGATATTATGTATTTAGTAAATAAAACTGATTTTGATATTACTCTCTAAAATTAATAATATACCATAATAAATAATGATGTACAAAAATTGTCCCGTGTAACCAAAAATACAAATATAAAAATTGTTTAAAATTCACTCTCTACAATAAATCAATACTTCACAAACTCTTATTTTCGACATCAACTTGTAAAAAGAGAGAAAAATGTTATAATGATAAAAAAAATAAATCATATACAATAAAAATATCATCATTGTATACACAATATTAACCAGCCTCTTACTACAACAAATTGACTAGCTAACAAAATTTTGAACTAACTAATGCGTCATTGAATAAAAATATCATCATTGTATACACAAATATCCTACATAAATTTATCTTAATACATTTATTACAATAAAATTTAAATTGACTAATAAACATTAACGATTTTGCTAGGGAGCCATCGGATGACTCGGGTTATGGAGTCATCCATAGTCATTCATAAATGGTATACTGACACATGTCCTGCAATAAATACACAATAGACACGTGTCAATACATAAAGTTATGGAATGTTCCATAAGGGAACCATCTGATGGCTCCATAGAATTCCTGTAAACATTAATACATTTATCACAATAATCAATTGTCTTTATTCCCAAATCAAACTTATCTATATATATGTATAATTACTGACTAATAGTATTTAATAAAATATTTAATAAAACCTCATTTCGATTTCCCTCTAAAAACCGTTACAAACTTTATCATTTATATATCTCTCTCTATATATATATTTAATTACTAATAATAAATTTAATAATATTGTTTATAGTTTACCATCTTTTTATGTTACAATCTTCTATTATTATTATTATTATTATTATTATTAGTATTATTATTATTATTATTATTATTATTATTATTATAATTATTATTATTATTATTATTATTATTATTATTATCATTATTATTATTATATAATTACTAGTTGATGCATTTAATAAAATATTTAATAAAACTTATTTTCATTTCCCACCAAAAGGACTTACATTTTTTTTTTTAATTAATTACTAACTAATCTACTAAAATCGTTACACCTTAATATATATTTCATTATTTATTTTTTGGATCAGTTGCTAAATTAATTTTAAATTTGGTAGCAAAATATTCAAATGTGTAACGGCTAATGTTTGGAACTTAAAATTGACTGGCACATTCAGAGGTGTAACCGCTATATTTGGTTGCATTGTTCGAAAAAAATATGATTGACACATTTTTTTTCTTCTAAAATCAGAAACACCAATAATTTTTTTCTATTTATGTTAATTTTCTTAATATATGCTATAAATATATAAATTATTTTAAACGTTGCATGGTTAAAATAAAATTTAAATCTCAATCATTTTTTAATGATAAAAATAACTTAAGAAAAAATAATAATTTTTATATGATAGAAGTACATGTCTAATAAATAAATACAAACAAAAAACGTGTTTTATATCTGTGCAAATGCACATGATAAATACTAGTAGTGAATTAAAGTTGATGTGATGTGTAAGAATGATTGGTTTGTATTATTTAATTATATGAATAATATTAAAGATAGTGGGGTTGAGTTAAAGTTGAGTTAAATTTTGAGTAGAAATTTTTTGAGGTGAAATATTTTGTAAACAATCACCCCTTAAGGTTTTGATAATAAGTGGCAAATAAGGTTATTGCAATTTGGGTAACTATACGTTTACTAGTATTCGACCTGTGCATTTGCACATATATAAAAAAAGTATTTTGAATTATTTGTATGCATATAATTATTAACAATTTTTCTTGCACTTTTTGCAAACCAAATTTACAATTAAAGGAGCTTGAATAGTTATTTTTTTAAATTGGATTTATCATATTGAATGTAATGTATATTTTGGTATGTATTTTTTTCTGTGGATTATTTATTATTTATTTAGGATTTCAAACTGGTTTTTTATTTTTCAAGAAGTTAATTTAAATGTGACCACAACAATAACATATAATCACGTTAAATAGTCAACACATTATATGGTCAGCTGTAAGTAAATCAAAAGTTTAAATGATTTTTGTAATTTTGAAGTGATTATTGTGTTGATTATCTAGTAATTAAATGTTAGGTTAAATAATAAAAAGTAACGGTTTTTGGAGGGAAAGGTTTTATTGCCACATAGGTATAATTTAATAGGTTTTATTAAATGTTCATGAGTCAGCAATTATATATATAGATTTTATTTGATATTATTTTTCTTTGGTAGCCACCCACAATATCCGGAGCTATGCTCCGACTAATTCGTTGGTCGACCCGGGTCGCACACCTGTCAGTGTTGGGTGAGTCTTTCAACAGTGATTTTCTACATCCATAAGGACTCGAACCCGAGACTTTGTTTAAGGGACATCAAACTGCTTACCACTTGAGTCACCCTCTGTTAGTTTATTTGATATTATTTAAAACTATGATTTCATATTTTGATTTGTATAAATATTATTTCTTTGAAATCATATTTGTTATTTGTCGTAAATATTTTATTTACAATTTTAACAAGTATGCCTTTTATTTTTGTCCATGCTTTTCTCTTTCCCTAATCAAAACCTACCATCTATTATTTATTCTCTTTATTTTAATTTATGGGATACCATTATTATTTTTAAATATTTTTAAGAGATAGTATTTTTCGTATCTAATATTAACCTTTTCATATATAATTTATCAAACTAATACTTTTTTAACGATTTTCGTTTTGACATCCTTACATATGCAAATTAAATTTAATTTTATCTATCCTCATAAATAAAATTTAAATTTTATTATCAAACTAAATTAAAAAAATACAAATGAAACTATATTATCTTATAAAATAATTATATGTTTTTGTTTACTTTAGTCTGAAGAAAAAATATGCAGAGTTAAGAATAAATATAGAATGTATATTGTTGACTGTGTGTTGCCAATGGTTACGAAAATCGTGTTTAAGGTGGTTTAATCAAGGGTTACGATATATTTATTATTTATTTTAATGAGGTGGATTACAAGAAGATCGCAGTACTATCAACAAGCATAAAAATAAAGCAAACATCGATTTTGTCGATCGGCAAGGAAAGAGTTTCTCCAGGATTTTATAATTTATTGTATATGATAAATTTGGTTGAATGTTTGGGATATATGATCTTTGAGAGATGAGTAAAAAGTATGGTAAGATATATAGATGACCGTAATGATCTTTGAGGGATTTTGCTTTAGTATGTGCTGGATTAAGATCATTCAGGTTGACAAGGGCTTTTCTTGCTTATTTTCGTTGTTCTTTTTTGGGCATGAGGGTCCGTATTTATACACGAAAAAAGGTGTTGGATTTGAAGTAAATTGAAATCATTGAAGTCAAATATAAACCATGAAATATGTTAAATAAGATCTCGAAACGTGCGAGTCTACCACTTAAGCCCAGTACAAAAAATGAATACTAAAAAATATTCAAAAAAATATATACACGTGGACTTAAATAGTGCATAGAGTTTGAATTTTATTATGATGTTGAGAATAATAAATACAAATGAATATCATAAGTAAAATTCATAAATAATTATATTTCATAAACTTAAATAATGTTACATTTGTTTATATTAATTTACATTTAAAATCATCAATGACATATTTAAACTACTTAAAAAAAAAAAATAAATGAGAGAAATCAACTCTACAAATAGAAAATATGATTACAATGCAATAGGACTTTAAGGAAAAATAAAAAAATTAAAAATAAATTAGTGGTATTCTAGATAATATTTGTGTAGAACATACATAATTTTATAAATGTAGCTAAACACTATCATTTTTTTTTAAAAAAAAAAAGAGTGTCAAAACGCAAGTTTTGTAGCAAATAATATCATTTTGTTAGTTCTTTATTAGTTATTGTACATTTACTTTTTATAATGTAACCCTAAAAATATAAATTAATTTACTTTTTTTGTGGTACAGGTATTAACTTTTTAAATACTCGTAATGTGTTGAGCCTAAGTGACAGCCTTGTGTGCTTCGTAAACCTATTTAGCAAAAATAACTTTTTAAATACTCGTAATGTGTTGAGCCTAAGTGACAACCTTGTGTGCTTCGTAAACCTATTTAGCAAAAATTTTTGTTTCGTATTGACACATGCTCAGGTTTGGTTTTGACCATTAAGCTTAGAAATTAAGAGCACCCACAATGCTTTGGGTCTCTTTTTGCATATATGGCAAATAAATAGACTTAAATCCATAATGACATGGACAAACCTAGGGGTGAGCAAAACCGAGCCGAAACCGAAAAACCGCACCAAACCGAGCAATTCAGTACGGTTTTTGGTAAGTTCGGTTATCGGTGCAGTTTGGATTTTGAAAAACCGCAAGTATTTCGGTGCGGTTCGGTTTTTTGTCCGAAGGGTGCGGTTTTAACCGAACCGCACCGAATGTCATAAAATGTCACTTTTTTTTTTTATTTTTTTAATAAAATCACCTTATTTTTTATAATTTTACTTACATAACATTAATTGGTGGTTACATTTTTTAATTTGGGTTAACCGAAAATCCGAACCGTTGCGGTTCGGTTTTTCCTTCTATAGCGGTGCAGTTCGGTGAAAAAAATTTAAAAATTTGGTTTTCGGTTTTTTTCGGTGCGGTGCGGTTTTTGACCGTACCGCACTGATGCTCACCTCTAGACAAACCCAAGCTAAAAAATTCAAAATCTATCCAATGCAAAACAAAAAAAATACTAGGTATAGAATACTAAACAACCAATAAAAATATAGTAATAATAAATGTATAAAAAAAAAAATGGTTTGCCTATTAAAAAAATTGTGAACAATTAATGACTAGGCGAGTTTGCACTTGAGTCCAAAATAGACCCAAGTGTGGACTTGGTCTCTTTTTTCTAGTGCCACATAAATTAGAATAGGTCCACTTTTAATTGCATTGTGAAACATTTTTTTTATAGACTAGATCTATTTCCTACATGGCATGTGATTTTTTTCTAAGAGCACCCACAATGCTTTGGGTCTCTTAGAAAAAAATCACATGCCATGTAGGAAACAGACCTAGTCTATAAAATAAATATTTCACAATGCAATTAAAAGTGGACCTAGTCTAACTTATGTGGCACTAGAAAAAAGAGACTAAGTCCACACTTGGGTCTATTTTAGACCCAAGTGCAAACCCACCTAGTCATTAATTGTTCATAATTTTCTTTTCTTTTTTAATCGGCAAAACACATTTTTTTTGTATGTATTTATTATTACTATATTTTTATTGGTTGTTTAGTATTCTAGACCTAGTACTTTTTTGTTTTGTATTGGATAGATTTTGGATTTTTAGCTTGGGTTTGTCCATGTCATCAGGGACTTAAGTCTATTTATTTGCCACATATGCAAAAAAAGACCCAAAGTATTGTGGTTGCTTTAAGAGACTCAAAACATTGTGGGTGCTCTAACATAAACTATTTTGGTTTTTTTCTTAGTTACCATATACTACTCTTACCTTTTTTTATTTAATTCATATATTAATTATTATAAATTGTATCACTTTTAATTTTAAAATTTTAAAACATTTTATTTGTATTTTATTTTTTTATATTTGATCTACCAATATAATCATATTTTAACGGATCTTCGATTTGACATCTATATTGCATATATAAAATAAAAAATAATTTTATCTATATTTATAAGTAATATTAATTTTATTATCAACTCAACTTAAAAACACCAAATAACATATAAATTATTTTATAAAATAAGAAAAATTTAATTCATTAATACACTATAAAAATACTCATTTTTTCCATAAATTTTGGATATAAATGAAAATAAGTATTACATAAAATAAATATTGAGAAATACATTTCTATGTAAATTCTAAATTATTAATTACATGAATTTAAAATACTTGAAAAATTAATAAACGTGAGACACTCACTCTATAAATATAAATTATAATCACAATACAATAAAACTTGTTTTGTTTTAGAAAAAAACGAATCAAATATATGGAGTTGTAATAAATATTAGTTTTTATACATATATAATTATAAAATATCTTTTGTGACAAATTTAATGGAAAAATAAGGGCATCATTTGAATTAATTATCACTTTGTTAGTTATTTATTATTTTTACATATTCACCGTACATAATTCCGCAATAAAATTATAAATTATTTTAATTTCTATTCTATAAATATTAATATATTTAAGTAACTGTGTAATACACGGGTATTTTACTATTTACACAATAAAATCAAAACTTTGCAACAAAGCTATGGCAAATACTTGGTGTGCCCTGACACATCTTGCTATGTGTGTCAGGGCCTTATGTGAATTACATCCCCTCTAAAAGCGCGTGAGAGGTAAGGAGGTAAGTCTTTTTTTTTTTTTTAAATGGGACATGTGTCCCATTTTTATTGGGTAACGAATTTCATTTATCATATTATATAAATTAAATTATCATTCATATTTTGTATCAAAAAATAAAAATAAAAATACCAAACTTCATAATTTTCCATTCTCTATAAATAGAGACCACATTTGATATTTTTTGGAGCACAATTAATTTATCATTTTTTACAATTAATTTATCTTATTGGAAGGTTATGACGCAAATCTATAATTAGATGAATATGCTATATAGTAAGATAAACATGTTATAGAGTAAGATGAACATGTCATAGAATAAAATGAAAATGTTACATTTTCACAGATGAAATTTAGATGAACATATTCTAAAATAAGATGAACATGTTAATGTACATGTTATAGAATAAAATGAACATGTTACATAATAAAATGAACATGTTATAGAATAAGCTGAACACATTACATATATAATAAAATGAACATGTTATAGAATAAGATGAACATGTTACATAATAAAATGAACATGTTATAGAATAAGATGAACATGTTATAAAATAAGATGAATATGCATTATTTTCAATCTGCAATCTGTAACATGTTCATCTTATTTGAAAACATATTCATCTTATTTTGTAACATGTTCATTATATGTCAGTATAATAAAATAATTACGAAAAAACAAAAAATTAGTTGTGTTAAAAAACCTATCAAATGTGAAAAATTATGAATTTTTGTATTTTTATTTTATTTTTTAATATAAATAATTAATGGTATTTTAATTTAGCTAACATGTCTCATTTTTCAATTAAAAAAAGAAAAATAGAAATGTGCACTACACTTTTTTAATTTTCTAGTTTTGGGGATGAGGGGCGCTTGCAAAATGTGCTCTGACACACCTAGCTAGGTGTGTCAGGGCACACGGTAGTACTATTGCAAAGCTATAGGTTGGTCCCTTCTAGATTTCATACCAAACCCATTTTGACCAAACTAAACAGGATCACATGCCAATGTTTTACGTGATTTGATTCTTGTTCAATCATGTCTGATTTTCACACGATAAAAAAAATTGAGTACTCATGAGCACGTGTAAAACCCAGAGCAGATTCACCTACCAATAGGCAATGGGAATCCCAGGAAGAAGGGAAAGAAAAGGATGAATAAATAAATAACTTTTGCATTGTTTTTATATTTAAAAATTATATTTTACAATTAATAGTTAATACTACTCTCATTAGAAAAAAATTCTCAGCTGCGTACTGAAAGTTTGATCTCAGAAAATGGGAGGTGAACTTTGAACAAAAAAACAAATAAAAACCAAAAAAAAAAAAAATGAAAGGATTTCAAAAGTTGATACTTCCATTTCTATGTTCAAATAAGAACTAGTTTATATATCAGTTAGCTTTTCAACCATAAATTCACTCATAATTTATCAGCTAAGTATCAACTAGGTCTAAGATGAGCAAGACCAATAAACACAGAAAAAGCTGAGCACATCACAACACAACCCAACAAAACCGAAAAAATACCAAGAACAAATCACATGTCACGGGACTCTCGGCTTATTGTCCCAAGTCTCTCTCGCTTCCAGCAGATGCGGACAGTATCTTTGAGCCAAGATCTCGACTTGCTCCCCAAACGGCTTATGCCCATTACACCCCAAATGCATGACCATATGATTCCAACGCTTTCGGCAAACATCTCCACTCCTTCCTTCCACTACACCATCCCACTCCACATCCTCCATGCAAGTCGCGTCCAGGCTATAAAGCCCATCAATCAACCGGTGTAGTCATCCATATCGGTCCACAAGCCTTCAGCCACCATGGATGAGGTCAGCTGGTTATACCACTTGATACAGCAAACCGCCTGAGAACGTGTTGTCAGCTCATCACTAATCGTCGTCCAGCAGATATTGTCACGTAGCATCCCATACTTGGATTTCTTGTCTTCTTGAAGCTTCGCCTGTAAGTCGATGTTCACAAGGTCAAACAGCTTCTGGTACTCTTCCTGTGACCAGTGCCCTTTCTTGCGGTTGGCCGTTTTTATCCTCCGCCACGTGTCCCTCACGTGAAATCTGTTCTTGCCAAGCTCGGCTGCCAGCTTCGTCCACTGATCGCCGTGCTCCTCGTAAAACTTAAGGACCTGTTCATACTCTTCCTCAGTCCATTCCAATTCTCAGATCTGCGGAATAGAACCTGAGCACGGAAGTATACGGCCGTGTAAGGTCTGTATGGAAATGCGGACCCAATCTCTTTCCAACAGCCCCTCACATTGCGGTGCTTTTTACAGTTGAGGACCATGTCCAGACCATCGTCGCCTAAGTCGTGACTAAACATGTAATCGTTAACAGCGGCTTTGACAATTTCATTTTCGTCAGGCGTGAATTGCTTACCTCTAACCAGATCATCACCGACCACATTCCCTTTTGCTACATCCCCTTTCGCTGGATTTGAATAGCCTGGAAGGGGAAAAACATCAACCTCATTAGAAAATCTAACTGTCTTGTCACTTTTGTTGGGTGTAGCATCACTTGATAACCCATTCTCCACTTATCAGAGAAGCAACAAAAATCAAAGACCTCCAACCATAAGTTTATTGAAAATTAAAAAGAAAGAAAAATCAGTTAATAGGATATCACCTCACCCTGTATTGTCCATGTCTTTGGTTCCAAGTTTGCTCTTCCCATTTCCACTATCTGAGTAAGAAGCCTTGCTAGCACTTTTTCATGTGTTGACAGACTCTGTTTTTTTCAGCGGAATATTTAAATAATGGAAAGGGGGAAAATAAAAATAATGGTGATAGAGACGATACGAAATTTGATGATAAGTGTCACCTCGCCTTGCATATTTGGTCCCAAGTTTGCTTTCTCCATCACGCCTACCTGAGAACGAAGTTTTGCTAGCTCTTTCTCATGCGTAGAAAGACTTTCTTTGTTCTGTAGGATATTCAAAAGGACCAAAGATGAGTAAGCATGGCAAACAAAGGTGCAGCGAAAGGTTCATGTAGATCATTAGGAGGAACAAAATTGAGAGCCAGGGAGCTAAAATTGCATTAACAACCTTACTATCATCATCATTGTCCTCAGTTTCATCCATATCAATGTCATCTGATTCACGAAAATGTTTAGATTTTCTATTTTGGTCAGTTTTTTTACGAGCAAAATAGTCTACATATCTGAACGGACAAAGCTAAAAGGAAAATGATATTATATTTCTTGGATGTGGAAGCTTATATAAACCAAAAAAAA